TGTTCCTATCTACTGTTAGGGTTAGCTGAGATACCTCAGGGATCACTTTCAGGAGCTTATGGGAAGCCTCTTGGCTCTTTCAGTCTTCCTTTACCAGTTGTGCCATCTGCCAGGATAGGTCAGGGTCTTGCTGGCCATGAATGGCTTTCCTTGAAAGTATCAGGAACATCTCCCTCTTCACTGATGCTCCTCTTTGCAGAATGTGCACTGGTTGGTTTCCTGGTCTCTTCCTAGAGAGATGGTCAAGTGATTTGCCCAGAGCTGCAGGACATTTAAGGCATCCCATGGTTCCCTGGATAGTTGGTGTTCTTACAAGAAGAAAAGTTGGACACAGAATCACAGAAGGAAGCACAATTAAGGCCACGTGAAGATGGAGATGGAAGGGAGCCTTCTTTTTTGCCCTTTACTGTACATGGGACTCTTTCCCTGTCTTCGACATCATTCCATTTCTGACACTTTCAACATTCTCAAAACTCATTCACTTATTCACTTAATCAACTAAAAAGGTAAGGGTCTGGTTTGGTCAGAAGTGGAAATAATGGAACAAGGAGCAGGGGTTGGATAAGACTGAATGAGAATCTTGGGAATTTTTTACAGGTGACAGTTAATATTATGCTTTTCAGGTTATGTTCTTGACATTCCCAAGTGATGCTGCCATGGTACAAAGAATGCCAGGGTTTGCTAGCACCCAACAGAAATTAGAAAGAGGAAAGGAAAAATTCTTCTCTATAACCCTACTGACTTTAGACTTCTAGACTCCAGAATGGTGAGAGAATAAATTTCTATTGTTTTAAGTCACCTAGTTTGTGGTAGTTTATTATTGCAGCCTCAGGAAAGGAATATGCCAGCCTAGTATGTCACGTGCCAAGATACTCTGGTGTGCTGCCTATGTGCATAGCAGCTAAGATAGTGCACTTAGAAGTTGAGGTGGGGATGGAGACTATGCTGGGGAATGGGAAAGAAAGGAAGAATGGGCAGGGGTTCTTTTCTTGAAAATATTGCCCAACTGTCATGTGGAGGCTCTGACCCAGAAAATAAGGCTCGAGTTTCAGCAGGTGGAAGAAGATGCAAGAAGTGGTGGGAATATTGGTCATTCTTTATTCGGAGGTGGCCATTAGCCAGCTCCCCAAGCCATTTTCATAGGCCTTTTTAAAATATAGCTAAAACAAAGAAGGAACACTGCTATAGGTAACATAAGGGGGTGGGGGGTGAGCATGCTCACAAGTTCATGTTTATGACCTTGAGTCTATATGCTGAATCGCAATCTTTCTGGCCTTGACTAAACATACACAGCTCGTTCCCAGGCCTGGCTACAGACTAAAATCAACATAGTCCACTGGAAGTCTTCAGCGAAAGAGCCTAACTACAGCCATTTGGGGGCCTGCCCCAACACCAACCTTCATTATATTTTGACCCTGTGAACTTGCAGAAAAAGAAAAATTAATTTGCTAATGAAGGAAGAAGGATGCATTAAAAAATAAGGAGTGGGAACTGCAAGGTCAGCTACAAACTAGCTCTGTGATCAGGCACATGGGGTTCAGATGTGGTTGCTTTGAGTCATAACATAAAAAATACTGTTAACTTTCAACTGTAAAAAATTCCTAAGGTCTTCATTCAGTCTTATCTAATCCCTGTTCCTGTTCCACTTCTGACCCAAACCAGACCCTTACATTTTAGTTGACTTCATTAATAAGTGAGTTAATATTGAGAATGGAAGACTGAAGGCTTCAGAAATGAAATGATGTCAGACAAGGAAAAAGTCAGATGTACAGTAAAAGGCAAGAAAGAAGACTCAAGAATCAGACTGGTCTGTCATTAACATTTGGTAACTAAATGCCATAATAGAAGCAAATGTGACACTTACAATCTTGATTATGTGTTAAGGGTATTTATAATATTATTCTTTATATTTTGGTAAGTTCGAAGTGTTTCATTTTTAAAAAGAACAGTAGTATCCTCAAAATGGGTGCATTGGATTTGAATCCATTAAAGCATTCAAATCCCTTGCTTTAATGGATTCTAAACCTTGTCTTTCATCAGCAAAGCTGATATGATTGTAGGCAAACATTTCATTCCCACGTGTGAATAGACCAATACAGCCCTATGGGGAGAACCTGTGGAAATATACATGAGAAGTCATAAACTATTAATTTTCCTGGACCCAGGGTATTTATTCAAGGGCAAAGATAATTATTACAAAAGAAAAGTTTGGGGACTATGTAGATGAATAATTCTATGCAAAGTTTTTTTAATCTGTGACAAATTTTTATAACAATAAATTACAAATAATTTAAGGTACAAATAGAGAATGCGCATGATTCCCCCATCTGGTCATGCTACCCTTACCTCTGCCTGGATGGTTGTGGTAACCTGCAGCTGGTCCCTGCTTCCACCGTGTTCCCTGCAGTCTGCTCTCAACTCAAGCAGCTACCAGACACTTTCAAGATGAAATCAAATCTCCTCTCCACTTCTCTTCAAAGTATTCTCACCGCCTTCATAGCTACCATCCTAGTCTGAACCACCACCTCCTGGGTCCTAAATTATAGCAATAGCTTTCTAACTAGCCTCCTTCTCCCACTTTCTTTCACCTCAACACAATAGTGAAAGTGCTTCTTCTCAAATGATAAATCGGATCATACCACTTCTCTGCTCAGAAGCCTCCAGTGGCTTCCCATCTGACTCAGAGTAAGCCTAAATGACTCAGAGCACATCACAGTAAACTTTGACAGTGGCACACAGGAGTTCATCTCCTTCCCAGTCACACTGGAGAATTTTGTTGGCTGTTCCCTCTACTCAAAACACTCTTTCCCCATATGACTCCATGTAACTTATATAAAAAATTTCAAATGTCTACCTCTCCTGCCCCAAACATAACACATCCTAGAATATAAGTTCCACAGGGAAAGGGATTTTTATCCATTTATCACAGCTGTTTCCCAGTACTTAGAACATGGTTGACATTCAATAAATATTTGTTAAATGAAAGCACAATTGGTTAAATAAATTGAGTTATATCAAAATGATGGAAGATCAAGCAATCAGAAAAAGAGTTTTTATGTATCAATGTGGAAAAAGACTTAATATAATGTAATATAATGTTAGTGTAAAGATCAAAGCTTGTGGGCTGGGGGTGTGGCTCAAGCGGTACCGCGTTCGCCTGGCATGCGTGCGGCCGGGGTTCGATCCTCAGCACCACCTACAAAGATGTTGTGTCTGCCAAAAACAAAAAAAAAACATATATTAAAATTCTCTCTCTCTCTCACTTTAAAAAAAAATTAAGATCAAAGCTTGTGTTGTGATCAAAACTACATAGATATGGTTTTGGCAATGATGATCTTTTCTGGTTCTTTTGCTTTCATTTAAATATTGGGGCTGGGTGTGAAGGTGTATGTTTCTAGTCCCATTGAGGTGAGAAACATGCAGAAGGATCACAAGTTCAAGACCAGTTTCAGCAACTTAGCAAGATCTTCAATAACTTAGCAAAACTCTGTCTCAAAATAAAAGTAAAAAGGACTGGTAAAGTATCCCTGGGCTCAATGCCCAGTACAAAAATAAATAAATAAAATAAACATTGGGATCCCCAAATTTGTCCTTAGTCTCTTGTCAATTTAATCTACTTTGTAGCTTCCTATACCCTCTAGTTTATTTAGTATTTTGTACAAACTACCTTAGGCCCTCTAGAGCGTCTTATCCATGTATATTTTATATACACTGCTGTTTGTTAGATGGTTAGTCATTTATTCATTAGTCTCCTTCAATAAAATGGAAAACTCTCATAGCATAAGATGCCTAGAACACATTAATAAGAAGTGATAAAAGAAAATAATAAAGAATCCAATTACGTGTCAAGTACCTCTAAGAACTTTGCATATACTCCCAGCTGCCCTGTGAAGTAAGCCTATCTCTGTTACACAGATTAATAAATGAGGAAAACTTATGCTTGTAATGAACAGTGACCAAAAAGTATATAAGTGTTACATTAAGTTGTGAACTGAAGTTTCTTCAAAGAGGTCACATTTGTATTTGGGAGCTTTCAGGTTGTTTGAATTTTACTGATTGGATTATCTAGACCTGTGGGGAGACAAAGTACTGTAAGAAGCTCAAGTTGTATTGGGTTATTTTAGGCTCCTTTAACTGCCATTGTGTCTGATCTAGCATTTTTGTGACTACTGGATAAATGTGTATGCGAAGCTTGACAGACCTCTGGCCTCTATTGAACATTATGGCTGGGAATGAGACAGTACCTGAATTTTGTAGGAACTTTCCCTACTTTATTGAAAGCTTCTGAATCTTGTGGAGGTGTTTCATGATGACACTACCCGCTTGGGCGGTCTAAAAGTTTGTATAATCTTTTCATAGAAGAACCATGTCCTTGGTAATCACTGTTCACGGGGAGCTCATGCGGTTAACTTGAGTACTTGAGTTTATGTTACCAGGGCATAGTCATTACCTGCGAATAAACCATTTACTTCCTTACAGCAGAGTTATTTTCCATCGATAAGGTGCTAAAGTGGTGGGATTGTAGCGGTTTTTTTTTCCTCCTCCAAAATTTCTTTAATTGTAGTTAAGCTGCGTGTGTGTGTGTGTGTGCATGTACGTGTTTGTGCGTGGCCAAATAGTTGTAAAATTTAGACAATACAGCAACAGGAAATCGCAGAGCAAAGTCTGGGAAAAGGGGAGGAACCCGAAGACAATGACAGCCGAGATCAGACTCCACCAAAGCAAGCACTCTGCGAAGGCGGGGAGTGCCCCCTGGGCTGAGCCGTGAGGGCCCAACCCACAGAAGATTCCTTATTGGGAGGCCACCCAACGCCTCACGCCAACGACCTGAGGAGGCGTGGCTTGAGGTGTAGTCGTCTATGGGCGGAACCACTCCGGAAAGCCCGGGTTCAGGGACAGAGACAGGCGGTCGCTGATTGGCTGTCGCAGAGGGGGGCGGGCTCCACAAGACCCGCCTCTCCGAGGGGCGGTGTCTGCAAATGAGCCACTAGGAGAGGGAAGCTCTTCTGCCGCGAGGTTACGCTGGCGACGAGGTAGGTTTATAACGCCGTTGGCCCAGAGGCTGAGCCGGAAGCGCTACAGTTTGACCCCCCAAGTCCCTGCTTTTTAAGGGACGGCCCTCTTTCCCCCCGCCCCGATCTGCTCCACTTCCTCTCCGCCCCGGTTCCCGGAGGCGAAAGCCCCTGGTCTGGGCGGGGCGGCGCCGCGGAATCCTCCGGCCCCGGAAGAAGCGCCATCTCCCACCTCCGCCATGGAACCCACCGCGCTGTCCCTCACCGAAGAGGACCTGACTGAAGTGAAGAAGGACGTGAGTAGTACTACCTGGCCCCTGGTGCGGTTGGGGGCGGGCTACAGTCCGGCGGGAGAGGAAAGCGGAAACCCGGAGTCGCAGGACGCGGAGGAGCCTCTTGGTAGGAAGAGCGGAAGTTCCACGCACTGGAGGACCGCAGCGAGCCCTGTATTGTATTCAGAGACCTTGGTGGAAGTGGTGCCCAGTGACCAGTTACTCGACGTTTGAATCACTAAACGTAGGGCTTGGATTTTAAACCTTTTCCAGCTGAGAGTTTGTTGACAGTCATCTTGCCGGTTCATCGCCTATTTCATGATTCTCCCCCCACCCCCTTTGCCACTGTGCTCTTGGAGCTACGTTATTAGGGAAATGGTTCAGGTTCTTCGTTGAGTCAGACTGCCTAAGTTGCAATCTCACTCTAGAGCAAAAGCTGGATCAGATAAAAGATCCCATGCAGTGGAGCAAATACGTGAAACTCTTCTTGCAAAGGGGACTGGGGACAGCTCAACAGCTGAAAGTGCAGCCTGGAATTCCCCTAGTAAGCAGACGCCCACATATTTAAATAGAGGTGGGGGGGGGGAGACGTATACTTGTAGCTCAGAATTAATTTAAAGGTAAACGTAGAAAATATTCAGTAGCCAAATTCTGCTGTTCTGCTTGGAAGAAGCAAGCAAATTACATGACACTTTGGGGCTGATAATGTGGTTCTAACGGTTTAAAAAATTAAAACTGCACAAATCTAAATATTTAGTTTATTTAGGTATGACTTGTTTCCTTTTTATTTGCTTTTAATTGTTTTATTAGATGAAGCATAAACACCACTAAAAAGTACTTTATATTAATTCTAATTACTTTTACTAAATCATCTTTGCAAACTTGCTAGGACAGCAACTTTTTGAATGCTTATCCCACTTAAAATCCCTTTTTCTTCCCTCCTCTGTATTGTTTATTATACTGTACTCATAATTAGAGTTGCTGTGACTCATTAGCAGAAGGAAACTGGATGTGACTAGGGATTGTGCCTTAGTTTCCTCATTCACCGGAGATTTATGGAGCACTTATTGTGTGAAAAGTAGTGCCCTTTGGCCTAGAAGGCAAAAAATGAAGGCTAGGCCCATATTTTATATTCTAGTTGAGATAAGACTGGGATACTGAATTATTTTAAATAAGTGTTGTCTTATTCAAGATGCCAGTAAAATCTGAGCTTGAAGAGCTAGGTTCATTATGTTCCAGATTCTTCATCACACAATTTTCAATTTTTCCACTTAGTCTTTACAACAACCTCTAAGGAAGACAATTGCTATTATCATTTTACAGCTCATAAAACAGGACCTGAAAGAGAAGTGAGAAAGTTACACCTGTGTATAAATACAGATGCAAAGAAGTACTTCCAGATCTTTGTAGCTCTCTTGTTGATTCATTAATGTTATCCATTTCCATAATTTCAATTTATACTTGTATTGGAAAATTATAACCTTGAGGAAACCTATGGATGAGTTTCAAGAGGTCTATGAAAAAACTTTTAATTTTTCCTAGATATTTGTCATGTTTTCAAAATTGTTAATGAAAACTTGGAAAGTTTGAAAATCATCCTTTGCATATTTGACCTTCCTTCTCTCTCAACTCTAGGACCTTATTTCCAGTTGTCTACTGGAAATCTAGTTTCTATGTTCTACAGATTGCACACCTTTTATCATCAAGAGTTGAACTTTTCATTATCATCTTTCCCCCAAAGTTGTTTGCTGTTCCTTCTGTATTTTCTGTTTGATAAATGATATACATTTGTGTCTCTGAGGATAACTTTCTGTTTTCTGAGGTTTTACTTTCTGTGGTTTCACTTGCCATCATCCAAAAGTATTTCATGGAAAATTTCAGAAATTCATATATTTTTAAATTGGGCATTAAGTAGCATGGTGAAATCTTATACTATTTTGCTCCATCTAGCCAGGAGTGTGAGTCATCCCTTTGTCCAGATTATCTGTGCTGTGTACATTACCTGCCCATTAGTCACTCAATAGCTGTCTCAGTCAGATTATCATGGTATCACAGTGCTTGTGTATAGGATTTGGTATTGTCCAAGATTTCAGGCATTCACTGGAGTCAGGGGTCTGGGTTGGGGTCTGGTCCTCCAGGAGCTCCCATTTCTTCACTATCTCCTCCTCCCCCTCTTCCTCATCTAGTTATTTACCTTATCCTTTTGGTTGAATTTAATTCATCTTAATAAATAAAAATTACATGACACTTTGAGGCTGATCATTATCAGTTGGTTCTAACAGAAAATTAAAATTTAAGACACGCTTTTAATTTTAAAAGAGCTCAATTTCTTGGGGGAAGGGAAATAGACATAAAATGATTATTTTAAGTCACAAAATACGTGTGCAGTGAATTTTACATTTATCTAAAACACAGTGTGGCACTCTGTAAGTACAGGGTATTTAATATTGAACAAAATATACCTGGTTCTTGCCTGTTTTAAACATATAGCTCATTAGAGTTGAAAATATATATGTGTGTATTTACAAATTATGTTAAGTGCTATGAAGGAGACAAACTGGTGCTGAGACACTAACAGGAAATCTGCTTGAGATAGCATGGTCATTGGATATTATATTTAAACTGAGTCCTAAAGAACTCAGTATGACAGAACTAGGGGAAAACATTCTAGGCAGAATAGAATTTGCTACAGACTTAAAACAGGCAAGACCTTGGTGGACTTGAGAATATTATAAGAAGGCAAAGGTGAAGTTAAACATGTGTCCAGAGCCAATTCATGTTTTTTCTCCCAGGTATAGTAGAAATTTATTGAAGAAATATATATATATATATATATATATATATATATATTTTTTTTTTTTTTTTTTTTTTAAGACTCCTCTACCTATTCTGTGGGCTTGAGAACAAGAGTAAGAGTAGGGAAACCAGTGAAAAGACTCCTGGAATTTGTATAGATGAAAAATGATGGTGGTTTGGATCATGGTGAGGGCAATGGAAATAGATGGAGCACAGTTCCAGGTACATTTTTGAAACAAATGATAAATTGAATATGAGAATTGGGAGAGTGGAATCAAGATTGGTCAGGGGACATGTCAAGCCAATTAGATCCACCAAGTCTAAAGGTCAGAAGAGAGGTCTAAGGGAGAAATAAAAGTATGGGATTGATTGATTTCACTTAGGAAGTTGAGTGGTAAAAGACAAAAGGGTTTTCTAAGACCCTTTAAAAAGAAGAATTTGAAAAAACTAGCAGTTAAGCCTTAGAGATTGAGTGTAGTATTCATGTAAGACAAGAATTATGTTTCAAGGAGGGAGTGGTCAACTGTGTCCATGCTGCTAAGAAGTAAGATGAAGATGAAAAAGGAACTGATTTGGTAATAAGAACATCATTGGTGGCTTTGAGAAGAATAATGGAAATGTCTGGGGATGAACTGGAGATGAGGTAAAAGAAGAGACCTGATGTATAGAAAAGTGAAATATAGTCACAAGGTACTACAAAGACAGAGGAGAGGGGTACCTGTCAAATCCTGGGAGATTAAGGAAGAGCTTTTCAAAGGAGATGACTTGAATTTTTTTTTCCCCCTCCTGGTACCAGGAATTGAACTCAAGGGGTGCTTAACTACTGAGCTACATCCTCAGCCCTTTTTTTGTATTTTATTTAGAGACAGGATCTTGCTTAAGCCCTCACTAAGTTGCTGAGGCTGGTTTTAAACCAACAATCCTCCTGCCTCTGAACCACTGGGATTACAGGCGTGCACCACTATGCTGGCAAGATGATCTGAATCTTAAAGGATGAATAGGGGCTTAGAGTTTGAAAAAAGAAAAAAAGACAAAGGTGACAACATGAGTAAATACGGAGTAACAGCAGTTTTAAGGGGAACATAAAGTTAAGAGATCAGAGGTAGTGAAACCATATTATCAAGAATCTTTCCTTAAAAAAAAAAAAATTAAAAAAAAAAAAAGAATCTTTCCTACAATAATCAGTCATTATTTATTGAGCATTTATTGTATGTCAGATACTGTGCTAAACCTTCATCTACACCATCCCATTTAGTCTTCCTAAATGTTCTACAAGTTGTTTTCATCATTATTTTATCAGTAAGGATCCTGAAGCTTTGAGTGATTAACTAAACTTGCCCCAACTCTCAAAAGATGCGGCAGATTCAAAATTTGAAATGAGATTAACTCCAGAACTATGCTTTTAACTTCTCTACTATTCTGCTTGAATTTTATCCCATAAGTCACAGAACGATTTTCAGTTTTTAAAATATTAACATCACTGCGGTATTAGAATTTATATGATACTTTAGATTTACATTTTCTTTTGATAAGTAAGAGATCTAATAGATGTTTAAAGGAGTAATTTTAGAAAGAGGAAGGAAGTAGGAAGTATGGTTAGGCTTCTATTGTTAGTCCATGTGAGATATGATAAGGACACGAAGTAGGGCCAGCAATAACAATAGAAGTGATGAAGGAGCAGATTGTGTGTGCATATATGTGTGTAAATATGTATGTGGTTGGTTGGCAGGACCTTGTGGATGGGTAATTGGATGTGGCAAGTGAGTGACAGAAAGGAAGAGTTTAAGCATGAGTTCTAGATTTATAGCATGGCTGAATGGATTGTGGAACTTCCAAATGAGTTGAGAATGTCAGGGGTAAAGAAAGGGGGAAGATAATTTAGTTGGGGTATGTCACATTTGAAGTATATTTAGGATGTCTAAGTGAGGAAGGTCTTGATCATATAGGTGGTAAAATGACTATAGATGAGGTTTTTCAAGGAGTTCATCTTTTTTAAATATAATCTTTCTTTGCATCCTTACAACTTAGATTCATACATTCAACTTATTCTATGTAAGATGATTGTAGCAATCTTCTGATTGGCCTCCTTTCTCCTTTGGACTCCCCCTAGTCCTCTGCAAATGTTTTCTTATTGCATCTTTGATGACTCTTCCTTTCGAGTATAGGGAAATTTGTGTCCTTGAGCATGTTGTAGAAGTCTTCCTATGATGTAACACTAGTTTTACTTCCCAACTTCATTCCTCTCAAACCTTTCATACACATCTGTGTTCCAGCTACACCCAGACTTCTCATTGTCTTTTGCAGTTGCACATCTTCATGCCTTTAGCTCAAGTATAGCCTCTGTAGATTTCCCAAGTCCTGGGGATAGCTCCTGCTCACTCTATGCTTGCCCAATACTTGACCTATAATCTTTTGTGGGGGGGCCATATCAGTAATCTGATAGTTATTGTTTTGCATGTGGTATGTATTCCCAACCTAGACCAGAAGCCCTTTGAATACAGGATTCAAGTTTGTTCATTTTTGTTTACTCGGTGTTCCGCACTTGGCTTACTAGGAATTTAGATACAAAAAAAAAATCTCTTATATGAGTAAATACTGTATTTCACTGCATAATTGTTGCCACAGCATTAATATACATTCACAAGTATTCTGTTTACCAAAGACAGTTTAGTAATGAATATTTTTTAAGTTATACTGGCACAATTTAAAAAAGAAAAGGGATTCACCCACTGGGCAAACCTCATATTTTTATTAAAAAAAAAAAAGGCATAAACTCTGCAGTGATTGTATAGTGAAATACAGTTAATGCATGTAGGAATTCAATGAACTGAAAACTATACGATGTCTTCACCCAGAAGACTTGGTGTATACTAGGATGCTGATGATTCCTTCTATTGCTTTTAGGTCATCATTTTTGAATGTGAGTCAAATAAATCATCATTGTCATCATCCCTACTATGTACCAGGCACTTTTCTAAACACTTTGCATATAATATTTATTCCTTACAAAAATTAAATGATGAAAGAGACACAGAAGAGTTAACTAACTTACCTAAGGTCACATATCTAGTACATAGAGGAACTAAAATGCAATCACTGACATCAGATTTATTAATGGCATTTATTAAGTCTAACACAGACCTGATTTAAACAATGTGCAATATATACATGTATCCAAACATTACATGACACCCCATTGATATCTATACTTTTTGTGTTTTATATATTAGTTAAAAAAATATATAGGAACAAATAATTTTTTTAAAAACATGTATTTTCTGCAGATTAAGCCTATTCAGGCACTTCTTAGGTCTAGACTTGTTTCTCCTGTCTCCTTTTTCTTGATTTATATTTCCTAACATTCACTTTCCCTTTAGGTTCCTCTCCCCACACACACAACACACATTACATATCTCCCCTTCTACCTAGACTGACTCAGGAAGTTATAGTTTTTCTAACCAATCCCAAAGACTGACACATTATGGGCTCTTTTAGTTTAGGAGTTTTGTTTTCTGTTTGTTTGTTCTTAATGGTTTCACTCTAAGGAGATGGAATAACTAATAACAAATATGAGAAACTTAAAAATTATGAGGCTTCATACTAAGTTATCCTCCCTGTTTCTGTTTAATTCTGAATTCCTTGCCAAATGGTACCTAAAATGTGCAGTAGTCTGTTCCTATCTTTACCACCACAGGTGAACCTAAGCAGACCTTCCTATTTCTAAGGACCTGGGCTCTCCAGATTTGACTGGCCCCTCTTTAAACAGCCTGGTCTTGGTTTTCAGGTGGGAAGGCAAGAACAGAACCAGGCAGAAACAGGAATATCTGAGAACTTCTTATACCTACTTGAACTTTCATCTTAATTCACATGCATTTTAAGTGACCTGAGCCTCCTGACTTCAGAACATTGTCTCACACCAATTGAGATTCCTAACTAGAACTAGGAATGTAGCTCAGTGGTTGAGTTCCTTGCCTAGCACACATGAGGCCCTGGGTTCAAACCCCAATACTTGTGACTACTTATTAGTTACCTGTGTGGTTTTACTAGATGTTACAAAATAACACTGAAACATATTTTGTCTTTTAGGCTTTAGAAAATTTGCGGGTTTACTTATGTGAGAAAATCATAGCTGAGAGACATTTTGATCATCTACGTGCAAAAAAAATACTCAGTAGAGAAGACACTGAAGAAATTTCTTGCCGGACATCAAGTAGAAAAAGGGCTGGAAAATTGTTAGACTACTTACAAGAAAACCCCAAAGGACTAGACACTCTTGTTGAATCTATTCGGAGAGAAAAAACACAGAACTTCTTGATACAGAAGATTACAGATGAAGTGTTAAAACTTAGAAATATAAAACTAGAACATCTGAAAGGTAAGGCATCTTAGGTTTCAAAGAGTTAATATAACAGTGCTTTTTTTTAATATTTATTTTTTTGGTTGTAGTTGAACACAATACCTTTCTTTTATTTATTTATTTTTACGTGGTAATGAGGATCAAACCCAGGGCTTATACATGCTGGGCGAGCGTTCTACCACTGAGCCACAACCCCAGCCCATAACAGTGCTTTTCAGAAAAGTAAAATAAAGTGCAAAACAAAAATTGGAAATAATTATTATTATTCATTTTTTTACCATATGTGATATCATTACATTGCAAGAATGAAATATTCAGTATCCTGTATTCGTATTTATTTAGCAATATCATTTATAGATAGATGATGAAAGTAATCTCTGAAAACACTGTACATCGCATATTAAGAATTGTATATAGGAGAAGTACAACTCTGCTAATTCTCTTACCAGTTGATCACAAGATAAAGTTATTGGCATGTGTTTATAGCAATCATGTATGTACACACAACTTTAAACACTAGAGTCACACAGTTTAGCAAGGCATGAGAAACATGAGAACTGAGACTGATTAAGGGAATAGCATTACCTCTCCCATTTCACTTTCACCCCAGAGCACGCACACACTGATTGAAATACTGTGCTTCTCTTTCTAGAGCACTAATTTAAATCTTCACATGATATAGCTTTACTCCATTTGTTCTTGGCATTAGAGATCAAGAAATGAGAAATTTAGGGATCTGCCCTTAGGGAGCTCATAGTCTGTATGTCCTTACTGAGACACTTTGAACGTTTCCCCTCATGAGCCATATATAAGTTTCTGTAGCAAGGAACAGAGTGTAAATGTATTTTGAAAAACTAGTGGGAAAAAATGACATGTAATATGTATATTGCACATTGTACTAAAATTTGTCAACTCAGGAGTTTCCATTCCTTTAACGGGTTGAATATTTGCTGAGCCTAACAGAAAGATAAATTGTACTTGTAATTATTCTTTCAATTCTGGGGTTAAATGTCAACTAGACCCTTCGGATACAATAAAATTGTTTTATAGGAATAAATACTTGTCATTTAAGTAAACTATTATGTTGAGAACCCAGGGTATTATCTATCGCATTAAGGTTCTCACTTTCCCACAAAATAGTCGTGGAATAAGAATGAGTTACCTGGCTGGGTGTGATGGGATACGCCTATAATCCCAGCGGCTTGAGAGGCTGACGAAGGAGGATCAAAAGTTCAAAGCCAGCCTCAGCAAAAGCGAGGTGCTAAGCAACTCAGTGAGGACCCTGTCTCTAAATAAAATACATAAAAGGGCTGGGGATATGGTTCAGAGTCATGTACTCACAATCCCTGGTACAAAAGAAAAAGAAAAAATTACCCATCTCTGTTGGTAATAATGAGATGACTTCTAAAATCCTTTTGAGTTCTAATACACTATGATTCAAGAATCAGTAATTGCCATTGATCAGCTCATAGCATATGCACTGTTTAAATTTTGTTTTTATAGGCCAATTGGATTTTGTTTTTTACCAGAATGCTAAAAATATTAGTTGTGAAAACTATTTTCTTATTTTATGAAAAAAAAATTAGGATTGCTTCATTTTTTCCAGGTCCTTCAGTGTTTAAATATGTAAATATACATTAAATTATAGCATGCTAGTTAGCTTCTTTGAGACTGCTTCCTTATCTAGAGAATGTGATTTTTTAAGAAAAGCAAATGAGATTGAAATGGATTATGACAGAATTTATAAATTGCAATTTAAATTCTGATCATGTGGTAACTAGTTCATAGTCTTTTTTTTTTTTCCCTTGCTACTGAGATTGAACCCAAGAATGCTTAACATTTAGCCACATCCCCAGCCACAGCCCTTTTTTTGGAGTGGGGGGTACCAGGGATTAAATTGAGGGGCACTTGACCCCTGAGCTATATCCCTAGCCCTATTTTTTTTTTTTTAATTTAAAGACAAGGTCTCACTGAGTTGCTTAGCACCTTGATTTTGCTGACGCTGGCTTTGAACTCGCAATCCTCCTGCCTCAGTCTCCTAAGCCGAGTAGCAAAACCTTGTCTCAAAATTGTAAAATGGGGAAAAAAGGAGGGTGGTGTCTGAGTCCACACCTATCTTGTAACCTCTATTTTTTGTACTGGGAATTGAGCCCAACGTGTTATATCACGGAGCTACATCCACGGCCCTTCTTACTTTTTATTTTGAGACTGTCTCACTAAGTTGTCCAGACTGGCCTTGAATTTGCCATCCTCCTGTCTCAACCTCGAAAGCAGCTGGGATTATAAGCATAGGTATGACTGAATTAAACTCAGATTTTTTTAGTTACTTTTTCATTTATATCTGAATAATTTTATTGTAGGACTGAAATGTAGCAGCTATGAACCTTTTCCAGATGGAGCCATGAACAATCTTTCTAGATCAAATTCAAATGAAAGTAATTCTTCTGAAAAACTGAGAGCATCCACTGTCATGTACCATCCAGAAGGAGAATCCAGCACAGCTCCCTTCTTTTCTACTGACTCTTCTCTGAATTTGCCTGTCCTGGAAGTAGGCAGAACTGAAAATACCATCTTCTCTTCAACTACATTTCCTAGACCTGGGGACCCTGGGGCTCCTCCTTTGCCACCAGAGTTGCAGTTAGATGGAGGAACTTGTGGAAGCTCTAGTGAGATGTTTCTTCCCTTAAGATCACGTGCTGTTTTACCACAATGACACTTTACTGCCTTTTAATTTTTTTAGTAGTGACAAAAAAAATGTTTTAAAGGATATGAATCTTTTTATAAAATAATTATAATGATTTGCTTCCATTTGATAAATGTCTTTTAAAACAATGTAAGTATACTTTGTAAATATAATTTTTTAGAATAAAAGAAGCATACTTTTGGAATAGCTAAATGTAAATCATGTTGATCATGTACTTTTCAGTATTTTTTTTCATTTTTTGGGTGGTTTAGTACTTTGAAATTTTTTATATTGTAAGGTAATTTTAATAGGGAACATTTCTCTATTTGGAAACAGAAAGACTGGGAATAGTGTTCTCAATGCATTTGTACAAGAACTTTTCCGAGTATAGCCTTTTCAACCCATTTACCAGTAAATTTTCAGCATTAAGCTATTTCTATTTGGCAAGAAGCTGACGACTGATGGGAAAGCTGCCAGTAAACTGAAAAGAATCTCTTTCCCACTCATTTGGTCTTATGGGGTCTTCTCCTGATTCTGGAGGAACATATGGAGTTTGAGCCACTTATGATCTGTTTGCCAAAATTCTTACTAACCTTACTAATTGATACTACTTTCTTTGGGTTTTTACAGTCTATCCTTTATAATTTTCTTTCTCCAAAAAAATATCTCGGTATGAATCTCATTAGATGTAATTTGGTGAGATTTTTAAAAATACTTTCCCTGTATTTTTCATTCTTTTAATGAGTACCACTATACAGTTGAAATGGCTAGAACAAATTGGTTTTGAGATGTGTGACAATTCTGTTTTCAATACTATTTGAAACAGTTAGGCCATTAGCCAGATTTATCTTATTCTTGTATAACAAAATTTAAGTAATTTCACACATATAAATCTTATGTTCTCATTGTCTTCATTTAAATTATAATTCTACCAGTTTCCAGACATTCACCTCCTATATATTCCTATTATTTTAAAAACCTAGAAGTGGAAATTTGCTATCAACAATAAAAGTTTTTTAAAATGTAGTGATATGTTTTGGAGTTTCAAATTTTTCAATAGGGAATGTCTAAAATACCACCACCCAGGTAGAGGTTAGTTTTAATACTGAATTTCTTTTAGGCTATTGAATAATTATATAAACAATAAAATGAAGGTCTTAAACTTAGGCTTTGGATTTTGAATCCTATAAGTCAATTTTTTTCTCTTTAAACACTAAAAGCTTACCATTGCCAAAAATATACAAATTAGAATGACATAATGACATGATATGCAATTTGTTACTGTTGATTAATGCAGCAGTGAAAAAGTTACTTTTCAGGGTACCACATTATCACAATATAAAACAACACCTTTAAGTTCACTTTTTAAAAAAAATGGAGCTGGGAGAGCAGTGCACACCTCTATAATCCCAGCAATTCAGGGGGCTGAGGCAGGAGGATCACAAGTTCAAGGCCAGTGTGGGCAACTTAGCAAGATTCTGACTCAAAAAATAAAAAAGGGCTAGTGCTATATAGAGCATAGTTGTGGGGCATACCTGGGTTTGATCCCCAGTACCTCACACACACACACACACAAAACTAATACTTTTTGGTGCAGTTGTAGGTTTACACAAAAATTGATCAAAAAGTATAGAGTTCTCAAATACCCTTTCTTCCCCCAGTTTTCCATATTAATATTTTGCATTGTTGTGATACATTTGTTACAACTGATAAACTAGTATTGATACATTATTATTCCAATCTTGGTACCTTATTATTAGCCAAAGTTCCTCATTTATTTTAAGGTTCACTGTGTGTTGTACAATACTATAGGTTTTTAAAATGTATATAATGTCATGTATCCACAATTACAGTATTATACAGAAGTTTCACTGCCTTAAGAATTCCTATATTCCACGCATTTGCTCCACTTTTTCTGTTTTCCACCTTCTGACCCTGGCAAATATCCATCTTTTATTATCTCTAGTTTTCTTTTCAGTATGTCATCTAGTTAAAATCATAGTAAGTTGCATCTTCAGTCTGACTGCTTTCATTTAGCCATGTTCACTTATGATTTCTCCAGGTCTTTTCATGAGTTCACTTTTGATGAGATGATTCATCTTTGGTTATCCCAATACAGATCAAACACTGGCAAAACAGTAGGCCAGAATAATGGCGGGGGTTTTTTTATTACTATTTTGAAAATTTTTATTTTAGGGTTATTTATTTGGTTTTGATGAACATTTTAAGTGCAATTTGTCGATCTTTTTATGTCAGTAATTTTTGTATACTAATTTGTTATACATGATAGTAGAATGCATTTGACACATATACATAAATGGAGTATTTCTCATTTGTCTGATTGTACATGATGTAGAGTTACTATGTCAGTAAGTTTTACTGTTTAAGAGATTTTTTGCCTTCGCAGCATTTTGATGCTATTCTCCTGTTTATTTCTGTAAGTTCAGTTTTACTTTCCTGTTTAGCTCTCTGGTCCATTTCATTTTAAAGTAATTTTTGCATGAAGTATGAGATAGAAGTTCAAATCTCATAGGTACTGTCTAAGCAATGCAAAAGGAGGAAGAAATTTCCATCTTCAACCTCACTTATCACTTTATAAATATGTATACTGTTGACTTGGAAACAAAAGTAGCAAACCAAGAAACAAATAGACCTATAGTTATTAAATGTGGCCTATGAAGCCTTTCTGAAAGAGCAGATATTAACACAGATAACTTGAGTGCAGCTCCTAAAATCCTCACCCTAAATTTGCCATATAATTTTTAAAAAAAAATTTTGTAGTTATAGATGGACAGAATGCATTTATTTTATTTGTTTATTTTTATATGGTACCAAGGATCAAACCCAATGCCTCACACGTTAGGCAGGCACTCTGCCACTACAGTCCTAGTCGCTGCCATATTATAATTTAATGATCAGAAATTGTCCTTTATTGCAATGGTTTTGAAACTTTGCTTTCCATTTTGGAGTCAACAGGGGAGCAGCACCCATACCAAGTAACTTCAAATGTGTCCTTATGGAAACAGGTGATTCTATGTACAACAAAACTTGGGAATCACAGCCTTATTGGATGCCAAGTACTGTGTTTGGTGTTTACCCATGTGTAGTCTTGCAGTCTTGTTTGTAATCCTAATAATAACCCTACAAGGTGGGTTTGTTGTCTTTTTTTTATTTTAATAAGAAACTTTACCAAAAAAAAAAAAAATGGCAAATTCTTTTTGCAAAAAAGAATTGATAGCATTATCAGGAAAGACCTCTTAACAGCAGGCGACCTTTGAGCTGAGACCTAATAGAAGAAAGGAAGCTGTCCTGTGAGATTCTGGAGGGAGAGTTCCAGGCAGGAGTTGCATTGAGTGTAAAGGCTGTATTGATCTATGTGGCTAGAACATAGGGAGGTGAGGGTGACTGGAGAGTTCAGGAGCCTGCTTTGAGATGAAATTTCACAAATGGAGAGGAGTGCCTGCAGGGGTGGCCCAGCATCCAAACCTGAAGAAGTGGATAGGAACAGTATGAGGAAAGAATCTGTAGAAGGATAGGTAATGCAGATGGCAGACCCTAAGTGGGGCAAGCAGGGCTTTCCACGGGGAAAGGGATAGCAACAAAGAGAAGATCAATTGCATACTTAGGGACTGATCAAATAAGGAAACACATTTAGGATAATGGGACCCAGATCTCTCATGATACAGAATGAAGCTACAAATATAGAAAGAGAAAACTAAAAGAAACTCTATAGTATTGAATTAAAATTGAAGGTGTAAGTGCAAACTCAAGGTTTTCAATATTTCTATGAATGGATATGGAAATAAATAACATTCCTTAGCTTTGTCTCTTGGTGAGTCCTGGAAACATTAATATCTCCTTTTGCAATGAGAACAGCACCCAGATCTTGGCTTCTAAATGCCATTCTCCACTAAAAAGAATTGGGATTCCTTGGTGAAATGACTAATTTCAGGGCACAGTATAAGATCAACTTTGGGCCAGACATGGTGGCTCATGTGTATAATACTAGTGACTTAAGCTGAAGCAGAGGATAACGAGTTCAAGGCCAGCCTTGGGAACTTAGCTAACTTAGCAAGAATCTGTCTAAAAAAAATAAATAAAATACAAAGGGCTGAAGATATAGTTCTGTGAAACCACCCCTGGATTCGATGAGCTTAAAACATGTTCCAGGATGCAAGCAAGTCCTCAAGGAATGGTGGAGACGTGCAGAGGACACAGATGCCACCTTGAAGGGTTTCCACTGGCCAAATCTGAAACAATTTCAACATCAAAATAAAAATAATACTTGATCATAACTCACTAGATAAAAAGTGACACCATGAATCAATGCTAATATAAATAAATGAACAAATAATTTGGTAGAGAATAGAATATTGACACAGTTTCAAAGTGGCTCCCAACAAAATTCTTATTAATTACAAAAGGGGGAAAGGTGGCTTTACAGTAGAGAAACCTAGCCGACTAAATGATAAGCAAGAAATCAAAGTTAGATTCTTGAGTCAGGGCAAATTGAAATGTGCCTTCTAAAAGTCTGCAGTGAGAAGACTGCAATACTACTTTCAAGATATTCCTGCCAGAGATTTATAACCTGAATCTAATTGTGAGGAAACAACAAACTCAAATTCAAGTTTCTTCCACAAAATAACTGTCCTATAAGCTTCCAAATAACAAAATCATGAAAGACTGAGCAACGATTCCAGGTTGAAGGAGACAAAGACACGACTACTAATTACCACATGTCAATCTGAGCCAGATATTTTTGGTAATTTGGTGGTTGTATGAGAAGTCTTTGTAATATAGACAATATAAACAAATAAAATGTTTTTACTAAGCTTAAAGTTTGGGGGCATAATAAACATCATCTCAGATGGGTCAGAAAAAAAGTTCTTTGTCCTTGCAATTTGTGCCTGCAATTTTCTGTAAGTTAAAAAGTGTTCCAAAATTAAAAAATTTAAGGATTATTAAATATAAGGAAAAATTAACAATAAGAATACTCTTGCCATTTTCTAAGCAAAAGATGAAGGTGGTAGAAGTGGAGTTGGTCAAAGTGGTAGAATTTGGAATATATTTTTAAACTTGGAATGACAAGTTTTGTGGAGTTTTGTCCTGAGAACCTGGATGAATAGTGGTGCAATTTAGGGATAGAGAAGACTGTGAGAGATGGAAAGTACTGGTGGAGACTGATCTGTTGCTACTTGGTGCACTACTCCAAAACAGTATCTTAAAATAACAACTATTTATTTATTTATTAGTATCAACTTGAGCTTAGCTTTATGGTTCTTCTGGGTCATTCCTGGGCTAGACTGGGGCTGGATAATTCCAGATGACTTCACTCACATGTGTTTTCCCTGAACTAGATGGTTGCCTAGCAGGGACTGGCTGGGGTTCTTCCTCTCCTCACGCTAACTCTAGCAGGGTACTGCACCTCTTCACAAGGTGGCTCACTAACTCCAAGAAAGCAAAACAGAAGCATTATATTCATTAAATCAAGCTACAGGGCCAGCCAAGATTTAAGTAGACTCCAACCTTCAATGGAAAGAGTGATACATATGCACAGGGATGGGAGGAATTATTGGTGGCTGTTTGGGTAAGCTTTTCATCACCATGACCAAAATACCTGACCATAACAGGTTAGAAGAGGGAATATTTTGGGCAACTCACAGTTTCAGAGGTCTCAGTCCATAGACAGCCGACTCCATTACTCTGGGCCTAAGGTGAGGTAGAAGGGTGAAGGAGAGGCTCCATTCATGGCAGCCAAAAAACAGTGGGGAAGGAGTCACAGACAAGATGATGCCTTCCAGGCCACAGCCCCAGTGACCCATCTCTTCCAGTCATTCCCCTGCTGCCTACAGTTACTACTCATTCCTTTCACACTAGGATGGACTGATTAGGTTATAGCTCTCCCAATGCAATCATTGTTCTTGCATATATTCTTGCATAATGCAGGAGCTTTCGGTAGGGGACACCTCATATCCAAATCATAACAGTGGCCATCTTTGTGGACAATCTACTGCAACCATGCTAAA